CCAACTAGTTAATGGCCCATAATGTTATCTACATGATGCCTCAAACAAAATTATATTATAACCTTAGCACAATTTTGATACGAACCACATGAAATAAACATTCAAATTTATTAATGGCATGCCCATATTAAATTGAAACCTAAATAAGATGCTCTAAAAGATCACATAACATGGGAGATTGAGACCTTATGCACAAAAGGAAATAGTGGGAACCATTATCTACTTAACTACCCTACTAAAATTTGCAAAATTTGAGAGCAAACCTTCAATGCATTTTTTAACTTTAAAAGAGTCATATGAGTGAAGAGAGAAAATGAATTTTGTTTCTAAAAATCATAAATTGTAAGACCGATCAGCTTATTTGAAAATAAAAACTGGAACACCAACTAATGCGTGAGGGGGCGGATATGTTCACTCTCCCATGAAAGTACACTCATCAAATTTTTGAAGGAAAGCATTTTGATACAACCAAAATTTTAAAGATCATAAACTTCTTAATTTGTTGGAGACAGGTAAATCATGATCCGATATTTAATATTTCATATGAATGTATTGTAAGTTAGGCAAAGGTATCTTATATCTGAATTGTATGACTGTACAACAAGTTGAAAATTATTTCTTAATGATACTAAGATTTGCTATTGAAGATTTCTTTCAAAAAACATAAGCTATAGAATCATGAAATACATTACAAATTGACCTAAAAAGTAAAGTTGAATTAATATTGAATATGTGGCAAAGGTAAAATGGAGTACATCCATAGATAAATATTGAAATTTGGAAAATTAAGAGACATCACATAGTTTGTTACTAAATTTTAAATATTTAGAGAAGGTTAAATGATATGAAAAGAACCATTTTAATAAATATTTCTTTAACATAGAATAATATATAGAATCATGAAATATATTACAAAATGATCCACAAAAAGGGAAGCAGAATTAAAATTGAATATTCGCAAAAGCAAAGAGTTGTATATCCATAGAGATATAACTATTGAAATTGGAGAACTAAGAGACAATGACATAGTTTAGTAACTAAATTTTAAATATTTAGAGAATGCTAAATGATATGAGAGGAAACATTTTTATACCAATTCTTTAGAAATTAGATTTTAGGATTGTGGAAGGAAGAATAAAGTAACTGAGTCATCAAAAGAATTTATAGGGAAAAGAAATGGGATAAAAGCTTAGGAAAAATCACTAAATAAACAAATTCAATTTTCTGCCAAGAAGCTCTACTATAGAGGAAAGCATTAAAAAGTAAATAGGGAAATCAAAGGATTACCTTGTTGACCCCATGAGCCTAGTTGACTCATGTGTCACATTAGTGATTTAACGAGAACAAACATTTAGTGGTGTCATCTAATGATTTGAAAAGTAATTCTAAGGTAATTCAATTAAGTAACAACTATGAAGATGATGATTGTGTAGCTTAGAGCCTTTCTAATTTGGAGATGAGCTAAAGAAGGCAAATTCATGAACACTTAATGCACAAAATGAAGTTCCAAGTCATTTAGCTTCGCGTGTGAGTTTAGCAATTTTCAATGTAAATTGTTCAATAATAATAACAAGTCTCGAGAATGATGAAAAAAAAAGAAGTTAATTTAAACTTAATATACTTTGCATGTCACAAAAAGTATTCTATAATTTTTATGATTTTTTAGAATTTATTTATTACTATTTTCCAATTGTTTAATTTATTGCAAATTAAACAATTATGCTTAAATTATATTATTAATTAAACAAATAGTGATCATGTGCTTAAAATGCTTGACATGATGCTAATCATTTGTTTGAAAAATTGATGAGAGTCTTATTTAATTTTGTAAATTTACCTAAATTGCTTTTGTATGATAAATATGTTAATTATATTATTATTTAAATAAGGATAAGTTCAATGGTAATTTAAATGAAGTTTATTAATTATGTCACTACATATTAGCAAATTTATTAACTCCAAATGTTTCACATATTTCATTAAATTTTCTTAAGTATGCTTACTTATATTAATAATGTCGTAAGTTTAAAACTATTTAATTAATTGAGTTATTTGCATGTGTTTTGATATATAATATCTTATATTTATGTCAAAATTTTATTACGTTATGCTAAAAATAAGAGATTTAACTTATTATAAAATTATCATCCTACCCCTTACCATGCAAAACAAGCCATCTCGAAGTACTTCAACCGCACATATAAAAGGCTCACACATAGCCCAAGTTGGCCTATGACAAGTTTTTTTGACTGCTGGAGATTAGTTTTGAGAAAATTTTAAAGTGATTTTAGAGCTTTCTTCTGCCATTCTTTGACCTATAAATATAGCATATAATTAGAAAATAACTAAAGAGGTAATGAAAGATTTTGTGCCTCCACGCGTATATTATTTGGGAAAAAAATCAAGAACTCCAAGCTGTCATCTCGAAAGCTTCTTAATTTCATTTTTTTTTATGATCTCTCTCCTTTAATCTTTCTTAATTACTTTTTATTGAGTTTTCTTATGTATATTTAGCTATCATTTGCAAATATTATACAATATAGATTAGTCCATGTTAGCCTTGTACAACACCAAAGTTTTAGAGAACTTTGAAAAAATATTTATTTTTAAATCAAGATTGTGGGTTTGCCTCGCCCATCTAGAGAGATGTTGCAATTGTGTACGTAATGTGTGGGAAAGCACATGATATAGGCTACCCCGCAATTAAAAAAAGGGGTTGATCATAAAGATAAATCTTAATTCAATCCTAAGCGAGGGAGTGCTTAGACTTGGATGTGCGTAGACCACGTAAAAAATTATTATGCATTTGCTCTTTAACATATTTTTACTCTTGCTCAATACTACTTGCTTAGTTTGATAAGTTTCATGAGGTGATTTGATGACTACTTGCCCTTGTGCTTGCTATAGTTGTTGGTGCTTGAACTTGACAATCAAACTGAAAATCATCTAAATTTGTAATCACCATCATTATGATTATGCAAGCACTAATTCATGCATCATTGATGTTCGATAATATAAGAGATGCAAAGCTTATATGGCTAAATAGATTCATTTTATTGTCTTGTTAGTTTTACTAATCACATATAGCTTACTATTGACTCAGCACCATTTACTTTTTTTATACTTATAAATTGATTGTTTGGTTTGATCACAAGCCATGAGTTTGTGTAATTGAGTGAAGTATCATCTCTATTGTGTTTGACTTAATATCATCTTTATTGTGTTTGACTTTCGATAACTCACGTGTTAGCCTAATAATATATTATTTACATTGCATCTTGCGCCTGTTTGTATGTATTTGGTTTATTTGTTTAATTTTATGTACAAATTGTGTGGATTCAAGCAGGGAAGGATTTCACAAGAAATTCTGAAGCTCCACCACACATCCAATCAAATCCCCCCTCCCTCTTTGTGTGTAAACTTCACGTGTTATTTACTTGATAAGACATGGTTAAATATTACGAAATTATTATTAAGTTACTTAAGATATGAACATGTAATAATGACAATTATTATTAATTATGGAGTTACAAATGCATTTCCAAGTGAGATAACATCAAGGATCAACATTAAATTTGTATAATGGTTATAGAGAAGCTAACAATATAGTCAAAAGTGAGATATCCTAGTATGTGGTATTTGCAAACTATATAGTTCAAATAAATAAGATCTCTTTTAAATTAATATATATATATATAGATACTAAAAAAATATTCAAAAGATTTAGAATTCATAGAATAAAGATTGTGTGAATGAATAGCAATTTTTGTAAATGCGAAATCACATGTATCCATCCATCAATATTGTTGAAAGATTAATTATCCATAAATGCATATTGTTGTGCATTATATGAATATCTATTATTAAAAGAATAGGAATATACTATAGGGTATAACTTATAGAGTTAATGTAGATGCTTAAAATAAAGAAGCACCTTGAAATGTATATGCAATAAGAGAGCATGATAAAGAAACAGATTATTAAATTCCAAGTGAGTTGGCTATCTCCCATGAATGTAAGTTTTAGGAAACAAAGAAGTTATTAAAATCTAAGTTGAATTGAAATAAATGTTGCTGTAGATGTGCGGTAAACTTATAAAGGACAAATTCGAATTAGATAAAAGATGGGAGTGATACCATTGAAGATATGATACAAAAATTACACTAAATAGGTTTTGAAGGGTAAATGATGCATCAATAAGAAAATAAGATGGAATTAATACTGAAAGATTCGTTGGGAAAAAAAGAACGAAAAAGGACAAAGGTAATATGGCTAGAAACTATAAAAAAATTGTGATAACTTAGTGGTAACTCAGAGTATTGCAAATGTCCAATTAATCAAAAATAAAATAGAACCACCTGATTGTATCATAATGTTTTCTCTACTTAAAATGCTTTCAAGGCTACAACTTAACGTGAATAAAAGACAACTGCCTTTTTATTTGCATTATATTTTTTCTTAAAAAATGAAAATTTACATAAAAGGCTATCTCACAACAATCTCAAGCTTTGACATTGTAACCACTGTTTAGTAATTTAATATATTATTGTACCGAAACATTCATCTTCTTTTAAATGCGAACCAAGACAAGTAGGCAACTATATCCTTTCCTTTGATTATAGTTTATTATATAAACATCAAATTCAAATAGAAGTTTATGCTCATGATAATACCAAGCCCTGAAATTAGGGAAAGTGCTTATAATTTGTTTAGATTTCGTCTTACACAAAAGCATAAATATTCACCAACAAAGTCAAAGATTCATTTATATTCTAAATTAAAATTTCTAATGGCATTGATTTTCCATAAGATAAGCACCAAAAAAAATATTTAAGTATATATGCTAGTCATCCATCATTTTATCAAACATCACAACCTACATGAATAGAAGCATATGAGATCATTTCGATTCTCTCTATAAAATAGAGCATATAGTATACAAGAAATGTAGAATAAGTAAAAGATTAAGTTTAAGTGGAGCCAAAAATACAAGTTCGTACCTTTTTTGGTTCTTAATAGTGGAGCACATCAATCTACAGCATGAAGTATACAGCTCAATAGAAAACTGATGGTCTAAAACATACAGTTTCCTACCAGCCAAAGGAGTGCTTTCTTTGTTACAAAAGAATATAGAAGAATTCTGTGAAACACGAGAAGCCATGAGCTTACGAAATCCAGTGAAGAGGGCCATTGGTATGTGGAAATACTGGCTAACAAAGCTTGAGTCCATGTGGAATGAACGTCTTCCAACAACTTTCGTAAGAACCTCGATACATTTAAGAATGACTGCACCTGCATCCGTATCAACCTTACTTTTATTGTGGCAAAATTTTTCCACATAGAAGATTGATGGTTTTTGAAGGTGCAAAACTATGTTGATTATGGCACCAACTAAGTTCGGCATGCTTTTCTTAAGAAATTTATTGTGCCCTGCAAGTCAAGACTACAGTTAGAAAACAACATTACAGATGTTTGTCCATAGCAAAAAAATTTCACCTTCAAAAACTAGTGATAGTTTAACAACTTACAAAAACGCAAAAGCATCACAACCAACATTAACACAAGTTTTTTAATAAGTACGAACAAAAATATTAATAGGAAACTCAAACTCTTTCAGAACTTGCTCATATATAAAACTAGCTGAGATTCTGTAAAAATTTAAATTTAAAGGTTCTTATTTCATTTTTAACAATAAATTTAAACAAAAAATTACCAGACTGAGAAGCACCTGAAAAGGTTTCAAGAATCAACTCAAAGCATTCAATACTAGCAGCAGAATCTGAGGAGACCATTCCCCCATCCATATTTCCTGTGTTTAATTCATAAATTGATGTGTAGTCTTGCCTCACACCAACCAACTTTCTTTCAATTACTTGAATGGACATCTTCAGATAAACCACTGACGGTATCATTATATACTTTTTGATTGACATTCTCAGCTTAGTCTTAAATGCGACAAAGCCATATTTTCCATGCTGAAGAGATCTCAAAGAATTCCAGCTTGTTTCATTTTGTACTTCAAGCATCTTTGTATCTGAAACCATATCATGATAAGATAAAGTTGCAGTTTTTCCCTGTAAACTAATACATTTCCCCATGGCCTTCAAATGCAAGTCAATTAAATGGGTATAAACATCTTTTGAAATATCCGGCTCAACAAAGTTAAATAGACTCCCAACAACTTCAAAATATGTTAGCACTCCATCCAACCAAGCAAAAGAAAGCCAGCATGGTGGGCCAATCATTTCAGACAACTCTTGCAAGATAATATAAGAAGTTTCAAACATAACAACTGTAGAAATCAAAACAGATCGATCATTATAAGGTTGGTCTTTCAAATGTGTATCATATGATGGCATACACTTAATCCTCAGAATTGTTGCAGATGTAGTAAAGATCTGTCTGAGTATAAAAGCTACCTGAGGACTCATATCATTAAGTAAACGTGGTAACAATGATCCACTGGAGATTCTAAATTTCTGTATATCAAATTTATTTATTAAATGGAAGAAATCAATGGCCCACTTCATGTGGGAAGCTGGTGAGCTTTGTTTCCTGATGGTAGAAGCTTCTGATCTTTCCTTTCTACTTGCAGAACCCGAAGCAGACTGAAAGGATTTAATTTCCTCTCCCACTATAGCATTATCTTTCTTAGTATGTTCACTTGGACAGCAGGAAAGTTTAGCTGTACCAATAGGTGTATACAATTTCATTGTTCTTTCAACACAGTCTAACATTGAAGTATCATCTTGGTCATTTAAGACATTTTCAATCGCTTGTCTGTCATCTAAAACCATCAACTTCAAGCATAAGTTTATAAGGTCATCAAAAACAGCAATATGATTGCTAAGTTTAGAGACAAAATATAGCGTCAAGCTTGAAATTTGCCGAATCTCTAAGGTCATTTCCTTGAACATGCTATCACAAGCTGATGTTAGGCCCAACAAGAGCGCTTGAAAACAAGAAATGACAGAAGAAAATTTATTCCACTCCGGACTGTTGCTACAGGCATCTAGATTAACAGAATTAACACAACTTTTCAAGGTAATATAAAACTTTTCTGCATGTTCCTTTAAAACCTCGGCAATCGGTTCCACATGCTCCCAGTCATCACAAGTTTGGAAGGATCTAGGGGAACTGTCATTATCATTCAAACCGTGATGATTTGGTGACATCTGATCTTTGTTAAACATCTCCTTCAATAGGAAATGCAAAGTAGCAAAAGCTTTTGCTTCGCTAATTTTCAGCATTACATAAGATGTGTGATCTATCAAAGAATAAATCATGTCATGCACCAGAGTAGAATCTCTCTCCCCAAAAAATTCATTTGGAAGTCCAGCAACATTGTATACTGACTTAAAAAGCCATAAAATAGATGATGAGCAATCAAAAACAACACAGATGGATCTTAACTCTATGACACCTAATTTCTCGGCTGATCCCATCACAAGATATTTCATAGCCCTTCGGCAAGACACAAACAACCTCAACAACTCAAATGGGTCATATGTGTAAGATTCATCTTGATGATTTAGTAAGTTGGATAGCAAATGCCTGGATTAATAAAACAGTCATAGAGTCAGAATCAAGAAAAGGTTTGGAGATATCCATAAGTAAGAATTCAAAGAAAATCAAATTGTCGCCATCCACATATGTTTGCATTCCCCAAGATTGAAGGATCAGGGCTGACCAATGTACACAATTAAGAACAAGAAGGAATTAAATGAAAAAAAGAAAAAAGAAAAAAAAAACATTGTAATAGGAGGGGTGCTCGTCTTTTTCTGAATTAATTTGAAAAAACTTGTGAAAAAACAATCCCACACTGGAAGTGGGATAAGAATGGGAATTTTCAATATATAATAGTATCATTACCTATTGGTTAAAGCGTTCGGATTAATAAGTGTTCATATGCTCATATATTGGGAAAAACTTGGGTCATTAGTGTTCCAGACTCCTAACAAGTTGTATAAAAGTAGAGGACTTGAATAGGATAAAGGGTTCCATGTCATTTATGACTTTCATGGGTCTTGGTCGATTCCTACCGTGGCCAAGCAAGGCTCAAAAAAAAGTGTCTCCTATAAAAGGCCCAACATGGTTGAGTGGGCAGTGGGCACTAATACTTGGTCCAAGGCACTTAATAGTGCTGAAAAGCTTTTGCATGTGAATCTTTGTTGGTTCATGCATAAATTGTGACACTTAATTTATTGCAAATGAAATATCACGTTTGGAAATTTTGAGATATCATAAGGCTCCTACAATATATCAAAACAAACTTTGATGCTTCACTAGTATTCTTTCACTAGTTCTTAGCCTTTTATCGTAAGCGACGGGTGTGGATGAAGGATTAATTGCATTTTCCAATTTTTTAAATATTTAGAGCACTACTTTGTTGTGACATCATTAGCATGCGCTCACTTCTTTAAAATCCTACTACAAGAAAGTATCTCTAGTGGCTTGTGTCTAAGATTTTAGTTTTCTTTGGAGCAGATTTCATAGGCTACTTAGCATTGTAATGTTATTTTCATTAACAACGATGTCATCACACAAACACTGTTGTTAATAGAATTTTTTTAATGAAAAGAGAATAACATTATATTATTCATTTAAAACCAAGGCCTTCTATAGACTCTTGATGTTGAACGCATGAGCAATGATGTATGTGAGCTCAATTTTAATAATAATAAACATATGATTAAAATTACAAATATCTATACAAAGTAATCTCAGGATTGACATTTAGCAACAATTTTGTAGCAGCATTTTGACTCAATTGGAGATTAAAGAAAGCAAAGGATAAGATAAAGGGCATTTCAATGCAACATGACCCAATTGGAGATTGAAGAAAGCAAATAATAAGATAAAAAAAATGATTGAAATTACAATTATCAAAGGAAGTTCATGAAGACTTAGTGAGGTGAAATGAATTAATCGATTGCTTGGATTTGTTACTTTCATTTTGATCAAATCTTTGGCTCAAGCTCTCATGAAAAAATCAATTCAACATATATTTAAAATATTCAAAAATTATTTTTAATAGCTAAATATCTAGAAAATTACTTAAATAAAATTTTAGCAAATATTTCTATGTTAATTAGATTTTATATCGCTTATCTTTTGTTAAAAAGTTTTGGATCCGTTTTCCATATTATTAAATGAAAAAAAATATATATTTTTTATATAAGCAACATTAGCATCTGATTTTAATACCATTGGATCTTAAGTATTTTTTAGCTGTGAAACAATATATAAAATTTTATATAAATATTATTTATTCATTAAATTGATAAGGAATTAAATTTTTAACTAATTAAAAGTTCGCTGAAATTGCAAGATTGCCACTTTTCACCAATTAGTTCATATCCCAGTAGAATTACCTCTTAAATAAAGTTTCATATAATTACATTAATGCCATCTTCATACGCCTAAACTAAAGTGTTTACCATTAGGTGACTTAAAATTCCTCATTTCTTCAATTCTTCATACGCATAAGAGATTTCCACATGATGATTTGTGCATCCAGTTGAATTCCAAGCAAAGCAACTAAAGAGCTTCAACGGCTATTCTTTTATCGCCGTTAAATATATTTTATGTTGGATCCGACTTTAGGAAATTGTTTGATATATTTTTAATTGCTTTTTGAGGAGATTATGAGTGAAATAAGAGAATTTTTAAGAAATAAGAGATTAATGAAAAATTGAATAAAATCTCTCCAAGTCATTCTCTCTCAAGTAAAATCAGGTACTTAGTGAAAATAAGAATAGATCAAGAAGTTAAACCATTCAATTCAAATGCATAACAACTAGATAAAATGACGTTCAAAACAATAAACCATAATTTGGAATTAATATTGTGCAAAAACATAAACAAAAGATTTTTTTTTCTTTATTAGATTAAAATGAGAATTTGACTTTTAACCGGACACAAGGCGAAAAAGGATTCTGTAGCCAACCCCATATTGTGGGACAAAGGCTTGATGTTGTTGTTGTTGTTGTAATCAAAGTTTAATTTACCAAAAAATAGGTGGATAATGATACGATTAATCAAACGATAAAGATCCAAGACGTGCACAATTAGGATCTACTTCCGGTTGTTAAGCCAAAATCATTATTATGAACACTAAGCTTTGATATCAATTGACAAGTTATCAAAGCACACAAATAGAGAATGAATTTGGTGTGCACCGATACTACTAAAGTATCAAATTCAAAATTCTCCGCTACTCAAATCGAAATAATAAATATGCAAAAATGAATACTTAGACAAATCAAACTAAACACGCAACACAAGTGTGAGTGTCTTGGATGGTTTATGTAAATGTGAGTAATCGGGCAATATGCACTTGAATGTACGATACATTTGATTAGCATAAATTCTAATGATCAATAAACTCAACTTACAAGAATAAATTCATAAGTACAATGTCATTGAATATAAAGTAGAGATATAAGTGAGTGTTGTACCTAAAAAGTTCAAAGCAAATAGACTTACTCAACCACATAAGATAAAGATCTAATAGCATCAAACATTAAAGTAACAAACAAGTGCCGATTTAGAGATAGATATATTATATGTGAGAGCAATTAAATAATGAGAATAAGTAATTAGATTTACTCAATCACAATGGCATAGGAACATTAAGCATATGAATCACCAAAAGCACATTAAAGCATAAACAATATTTAAATGTACAAGAATTAAACATATGCCACAAAGCAAATAGACACAAGATATTATTATGTGGTTTAACACCCAATACTCATACATTCACCCTTAAGCACTTTTTGTAACATCAAAATCTGCTCCAGGATCGTCCGGGCCGATCTGGATCGTCCCGGGACGATCAGTGCAATTTTTGTTCCAGATTCTGTACAAAAGTTCCAGGAATGATTTCCTGTAGGGATCGTCCGGGCCGATCTGGGATCGTCCCGGGACGATCAGTGGATGGCACAAGTCAGAGAATAGAGGTTTTTATCGTCCAAGAAAATTAATTATCATCCTGAGAAATCGTCCCAGGCCGATATGGATTTGTTCAGATCGTCCAGGACGATCGTGCGATCGGCCGGGCCGATCAGAGGCTTATCAGTTATAGATATTTTGTATTTTTTGATTTTTGTACAGTCATGACTTTTCTTCTTTGTTCTTTCTGTCAGCCATGTACTGTATTTGTAGATGATTGTTTTGAGGAAGAGAAAAATATAGATGATTTGTTCCACTGCATTTGATGTTTCATAGTAGCTCTGTGCGTCTGTTTTGAGTTGAAATATTTGGAAGAATCAGTTCCGAAGCAGATTCCAAAGCCAGATCCTGGTCTGTTTGTTTGGCTGGTCGCGGCCCGGTGCGGGCGGGATCCGTCCCGGTCGGGTCGGGTCGTGACACTTTTCTCGCTTAAGATTTCACTAAACAACTTGCTACTGGAAATCAAACTACTTCACTCCTTGAGTACATAGAGAAACCTTCAAAGAATCTTAGTTCAAGAGCAACAACACCCATACCAAATCTGGACAAAGCATCAGCCGGTTTGTTCACTAACCTCGGCCTATACCGAATCTCAATGTCATAGCCCAACAGCTTTGAAAACCACCTATAATGCTTCTCGGTTACCATCCTCTGCTCTAACAGGTACTTCAAAGCTCCTCTGGTCCGTCCGAAAAATGAAATTTCAGCTGAATAAGTAAGGACGTCATTTCTAAATAGCTAACACAATAGCCATCAACTCCCTCTCGTAGACTAACTTCAGCCTAGCTCGGGCTGTCAACACCTGGCTGAAGTAAGCTATGAACCTGTGATGTAGCATGAGCACTGCCCACAATTCATACCCCGATACATCAGTCTCCACCACAAAATTTGGTTGAAATCTAATAGGGCCAAGAACCGTACAGTGGTCATGGCCTTCTTTAATCTCTCAAAGGCCTAGATAGTTGCCTCTCCCCACAAGAAGCTATCTTTCTTCAACTGCTCTATCATTGGTCAGGCTATAGTGTTCTACCCCCTCACAAATCTCCTATAAGAAACCCCTTAACTCCCTCAAATTCCTAAGTAGATGCCACTTCAATAATGCCTCAATCTAGGCCTGATCAGCGGCCACCCCCTCTTGAGATATCACGTGCCCCAAATACTCCACTATGGGCTATGCAAAGCAACACTTCTTCGGGTTGGCACTCAGTAGATGCCCCTGTAGCACCTCTAGCACCACCTTCAAGTACTCTAGGTGCTCCCAGGCTGACCAACTGTACACCAGGATGTCACCAAAGAAGACCAGAACAAACCTCTTGAGGTATGGCCAGAGCGCCTTGCACATGAGAGACTGAAATATAGCAGGGGTGTTGTTGAGGCCAAACGACAGCACTAGAAAGGTGCTTGTAAAACTCACGAAAACCTTTGTTGAATTTTAATTTTAGCAATCTTCCAACACAAACCACGAGAATAATAAAGAGAAATAACATGGGAAAACTTTGTAATTGATGAAATAGAGAAGAAAATAACAAGATACAATTGATTCTCAATTGAAGAGGAGGGTCCAGCTCTCCCAATTCTCTAACTGCTGGCTTGAGGCCAAATCACCCTAAGAATACTCCAAATTCAGCCAAAAGAAGAGAACCTAACCCTAGGATTAACCATACTACTTAAAGCACAGAATACTTAACAAAATACACAAACTACCCTCCCACTTTGAACTTTCCCTCCAACTACCACCTCCTCTCTTTGCCTTAGCTGTTGGGCCCCACCCACCTCCTCTTTTTGCCTTAGCTGTTGGGCCCCACCCCCAAGGGGGTGGATTACGCATGGGATGGAACAAGCTTACGCCTATTGTAGAAACAGGCCGGTCCCTTCGGTACTGGTCCCTCCTGGCCTGTTCTAACATCCTCCTGCGTCAAGCTTAAAAAAAAAGTTTAAAAATGATAATTCAAATATTAACCAGAACTTCATATCCTCTAACATAGACTATCAGTTTTCAAAGAATTTTAGAGAACAATTCTACATGACACAAAAAGCTAACGCACAAATAAACTGCATTTAGAACCAAAATTGCAATATTGACAGTTTTTGTACAACCTGGGAATGGATAAATCCAGAAAAATTTTAATTACAAGAAGCTGAACTTCATCACTAGGATCTATCACATGAAGTTGCACTCCTTGCAATCAATTTACTCAGGAAAGAAATAAATAAATTCTATTTTGAAACTCTAGGGTTTGCATTGGAGGATAAGATCACTGCAGATTATAGAATTTCCATTTTCATAACTATAGCAGGTATTAAATGCAAATTATGAAGAAATTACACCAAAAATCACCTTTCAATGTTGAGCATATAAGTTGCATAACGTGAGAATAATTTTGCGTTGCCATAGAATTTGGGCATTTTGCAAAAGAGATTAAATAAGGTTTCACAGGCTTTTAACTCCAAGCTGAATGAATATGATGTCTGCCTGTTGCTATGTTCCAAGTATATCATCCTTGGCAGAACTGAAACGGATCCTGACAATGAAGACCCATCATGCAAATCAAGACCATCATTTTCTTTAATCATTACTGACCCCTTCTCCAAAATATTCAGGAACTCCACCCAGTTTGGCAAGGAACGCAAGTCTAGATTGTTTGTTGAGTTGTCCAACAAAATGGGAGACAACAATTTCTTTATAAGATGGCAAAATCTAGATGAAAACTTTGTGTATGTCGTCTACCAAAATATAAGGAAAAAAATATCAGCATTTTAAACCAATAAAACCATACTAACTTGACTGAAATACATAACATAGAGAGAATTTGCTCAGATCATATAAAAAGAAATGCAGAAAGAAAAGGATGCGTGACAGAGAAATATTATTACCATGATCTTCTACTAACCATTTGTTCATATAAATTAGTATCTTGGAGCAACTCCAGCGAAATCCGGTGCAGAGTAACAGTGTGGCAGAAATACTTTTTCATGCTATCATCCTTGACATCTCTGTGATTACTCAGACATGGGCCACATGGCAATGAATAAAGAAACAAATATGAGACGAACTTCTTTAGGTGCTTCTTAGTGGAATGAGCACACCACACGTCAAAGTTCTGGCAGAATAGCCACCAAATTGCAACATGTAACGACTTCTCATCCAGAGAGCAAACACTCCGATCCCATTCACCTTCAGATTCACAGCTGGTCTTACCACATCCATCAAACTTTCCAAATGGTCCCATTGAATCCAATAAAGATAGAGTACCTGTCATAAAATTTGTTAGCTCCACAGCCTCCTTCCTTGATCGTGCAATAAAACGTTTCCACACTTTCACTGATCTCTGTGTGGTGGTATCATCTTGCAATTGCATTTGGGCTTTTTTGTGAAAATATTCAAAAGCCTTGATCAACCTGCTCAAATCACTGAGCCTCTGTATAGTAATGACTTGCAATATATAAACAAGTGGAGCATAAGCTGCAAAACTGCTTGAAAGAAGATCTTCTGAAAGAATTTTAATGGCCTCAGGAAGTGAAATTGAAGACGTGGCTATCCACGAAAAATACCCTCCATCCATTTTCTCAGATTTTTCCACCCAATCCATACAACAAGACGCTGTAAAGAGGTCGCCCAAGGATTCCGATGCCTTATACGATAAATCAGGTGGCATAAGGCTAATTGATTGCTTGTACAAACTTCTGGAGGAAGCATACATTCGGAAGAAAAATAGAAAAAGCCAACACGTACTCTGCAATTTTACCTGTGAAATGTTTCCATTTTCAATAAATTCAGGATTTGATAATTTTCTGCCAGTGATGGAGAAAAAAAAATCATTAACATTATCTGATTGAGTCTGCAAAAAACAACCTAAGCTAGGCCTTAATGTTTTGATCAAGTTCTTTAAAGAGTTCCCAATCAATATGCTGTTTGTTGCAGTAATGCTCAAGAACTCCAGCACAGTTGCATATATTTCAGAGAGAATCCTTCCCAACACTTCGGCTTGAATATCCATATCAAGCATGCAAACATTGGCTGTTCTATCTTCAACCAGGGATTCTATATCTACAGAAAATGAATTATGTCTGATCCATTCCAATGCATCAGCTATGTCTAAATTCATCTGTTGAATGCAATTACTAGACTGCCCTTCTGGCACGGACTTTACAGCATTGGCGATAGTGAGCCGTAGGTCTTGTGAGCAGACCAAAGCTTTTGCTGCTTCCAAGCACAACTGAGAAGATAAAGACGAAGAGGAAAATACCTTATACACATCTGTTATACAATCACTAGTATATATGAGGAATCTCACAGCTCTACACAATGCAAATAGAGGAACATAAACCTACAGTACCAAACAGTAAAAACAGTTAGAACAATTACACAAAAATCAGGTAAATAAAATCCAATGATAATATTCAATTTGAGAAGAAAACAAAATAGGCAAGTGCCAATAAATTGTGGTTTGGATGCAAGATGATTCCACAAAAGAAGCCTATGGTGCCTTTTGGTCGTTACATGATAAAGCCACCTACTTACACTACCTCATTAACGTGAAATTCATCTTTTATTAAACAATTTGAAGAAATACTATATAATAATACAAAGGTGGGCAAACTTTATAGGACTCCTGGAGGGTGGAGTTGAACTGGAAACTATGCCTAGAAAGGTCAAAGATGTGCAACCAACCTGGCGAAGTTCACTGTAGACATTGATAAGTTTGCATCCAACGCTCAAAATCTCATTCATCAGCAACGAACAAGGCTTGGCATCGGTACTAGATAAATTAACAGCCAAGAATGACAACAACATAAGCCATACAATTACTAGATCATCATCAAAAACCCTGTATTCAATTTCCAAAAAGTAACCAACTCCTACAAAAATTTCCCTCGCTATCAAAGGAAGCATCTTTTTTACTTCATCGCCCATTTGTAATTCAGACAACCAAAAAAAATGCAACTTTATTGAAATAGAGTAAAACGTATCATAAATTTCTTTCAGAAAACAATAATGTTTGCCTTCAGTTGTGTCCTCTGTGCGAACATATATTTTCTCCTGAATGAAGCTGTCAAGAGTCTCATTCACGGATCTAAGCATGCAATGCAATTCTACTAACCCGTGTTCTGAGGCCCCTGACATTATGGATAATTCATTTTCTGCACAATGTTTACACTCATCCAAGAGAGGTTTCATAAACTGAATAAACACTTCAAACAGAGGTATGCTTGCTTCCTGAGCATCTCCAGTGACTGCATCACCCTTTTTCAATACCTGACGCCCTCTAAATGACAGAGAAGACCCATGGTGACCTTTGACTTTACTTGCAAACAAACGCAGTAAGCACGCAAACCCGCCCAATGCTGTTACCTTTTTCCCTTGTATGACATTCTCTAGTTTCCTATATAAGTGCCTGTGATAGCTCTCGTTAGGTACTCTTGCTTTCCCCTCCTGCCCGACATTTGAACTCCTTGAGCTTAGAAAACCACTAATATGATAAGGATGAAACAACCCGTTCGACATAACATCTTCAACAATCTTTAGCATGATTGCAAATTGCTCACAACAACTATCTTTGGTTCTCAGCTGCACCAGAACAAACACCTCAAACAATTGCTCAAGTAGCCTCTCTACAAAAACACGGAATATGTTCTTTGGGTTTGGATGGAATCTCAGAAAACTAGCAAAGTGCTCGAGCAAAAGTGCCGAAATATCTAGAAGGATTTTAGAGGGAGAATATGCCTGCTTTTCCCTGCTAGAAACTCTACTGACAATATTGAGAACGTCAGCAACACATGAAATCCATAAATCCACGCCCACATTGTAAAAAGCTCTTGAATTGAAAGCAAGCAGTGACGAGAGGCACTGTAAAGTATTCTCAAAGAGTTGGCTGGATTCTACTCCAAAATTAGATTTGGCATCCAGTAAGAGCAGCGCTTGCTTCAAAACAGGCATTAAAGCTCTAAATAAATTGGGGGAAGCTGCCGCTGAGAACTTCTCTGAGCAGGATCTGATTACGGCCCAGCATCTGTAGTCCAGGCAAGGATCCAATAGCTCGCGGCTTTTCCTGTTTCGGTCTGTAAACATCAAAAGGGATTGCATCCAATCAAAAACGTAGCGCAGAGCCCGTGAAAATGAAACAGGCTGCAGATTCCCATCACAGTCACTCGCTTTCGAGCTAGCAAAATCGAAAGAAGCTTCTATCTTCCTGTGTGAAAGACAATCGTAATTCGGAATGATGAATAAAACAATAATATATTTTTCACCCTATTCTGATAAAAAGGAGAACGTTTTGTAACAGACCTTTGAAGATGAATATCTTTGCTTTGTAGGGTAAGGATGAGATCAAGATTCTCCCAGGACTCGCAAAGCTTGATCTTTTTCAGGTTGCTACCCTCGTCTCGGTCTTCTTCTTGCGGTTGCATATGTTTTTCAGAATTCACTAGGAGTTTTTTCCGCTTGATGCGGGATTTTGCGGATACAGTAGAATGCGAGCACGCCATTATACTTGACGACCGCAAGAAGCATGAGACAGGGAGACGGATTTTTGGGGGTGTTTTCTAGCAGGATTTAAGCATAAATCCTTCGTTTCCCTCTTTTTGGGAAGAAGGGCGCGAAAGGAAGAAAGATGGCTACCTTCGCAACGAACAAGCTACCTTCGTTGTCATTGCTTCCGATCCAACAGAAGAACGGCGAGGACGTGTGACTTCGGATCCGACAGGGAGGAACGGCGTCGAAGGAGGCAAAGAAGTTATTCAGCAACTCGTTCAAAACTCTACCTTTCACGCGAAGAAGCGAAGTCGAAGAGCAACCAACAGTGGAGAAAGTTCGAAAAGTAAACCCTAGCAAGCGAGAAATTATTCTGTGCGGAATCCCGTGGAGCTTTGTTTGAATGCGTAGGTGAAAAGTTAAAAGTCTTTTGATATTTATTTGACTTGAATATTGATTGAATATTTATTGCGTATTCGCTGCATAATATATGCGTATTGATTGTGTAGTTTGTTGCGTATTTATTAAGTATTTGTTGTGTATATATTGTGCATTTTCTGCTTAATTCTGCTTATTTGTTGCGAATTTCTCTTCGTCTACAGTAAATCCGAAAAGACAAACGGGTCGGGTAAGAAGTCAAATGAATATCCTAACTTTCCACGTAAGCACGTCACGCGTAATGATTTTACTGGCATCCGAACACAACTCTATAACCGGATTCCGCACAGAATAATTTCTCCTAACAAACCGACTATACTAACACAGAATAACATGCATTAAAAGAGAAGAGATAATCATAATATTGGAATAAATTAATTTAGTTTAACTGATTAGAGATAGGTTAAAGGCAGATTTCGTTGATGATGTCATCAGGTTAATTACAGATAGGTTAAAAACAGTTGATAAATTTATTTTTATTAAAGTCATCCTAATGAAAGCTATATAGCATTTTAGAAATATAACAAAATTTAGCCTACGATTTGTTGGACCATTTGAAATTATTGAAAGAATTAGAAATATAACTTACAGATTGAATCTACTATTATATATGCAAGAAATAATGAAATATATAATAATTTTTAGATATATGTGCTTCATAAATATATATCAGATGACTCAAAGTGCATTCCATCAAAATTAATTGAATTGCAACATATTTTGAAATATGTTGAAGAGTATGAAATAATACTATAATATAATGTGAAACAATTGATTAATCTGAAAATACCTTTGATAAGAATTTTATGGAAGCATGGAACTAGAAGAGATGCCACTTGGAGAATGAATTTGAATTAGAGTTCAATACCATCATTTATTCCAGTAAGATATGTCTATTTTATTCTTGATTTTAAATTTCAATGATGAAATTTTTATAAAAATGCGAGATTGTAAATCAGGCGGGCAAACAAAACTCTGAATAGGTAAGCTCAGCAGAGTAGCAGACCACATGCGTGCGTGAGCACATCTGGACTTGTCAAACAGCGTGATTACGTGAATGGATACATGCAGGAGTGAAAAGTAACAACTCCTTATTGGAGATATATTCGTTTTGCTAACTCTAGTAAAAGCAAAGTGCATGAGCAGCTCTGTGCCAAGAGGATACTATGCCGAAAGAAAAAAATAAGGAGAAGGAAGGTGGGTTTTCAATTTTGTTCATTTTTTGTGCAAAATTCTTCCATAATTTAAATATAAGAAAGGGAAATATGATTCAAATTAGTACATAGGAAGAATTTTGAAAATAAATGAATAAAAAATTGAGTTGGACATTCACTCTTTTCCAAAGGTAAAGAAAAGCAAGTGAAAATTTTAGTCAAATTTAGAGAAAATAAATACATAGCAGTTTATTTTGATGGAAAACAATAGTATCTGATTTTCAATAAAAAGAAAATTTATGCATGAAGAAATCTAGTAGGTGAAAGTTTCCTTTCAATGAGGAAGGAGGAAATAGTTTATTTAATTAAATTTAATTTTTAATATTTATCTTTTAATCACATTAGAAATTATCAGTAGATGATGGCCGATACCTTTGAAGTTGTTCTTAAAGATACCAAATCAATTTAATGATATTGTGACGATATTTACTTTGGTAGAACTAAATAGCAATGATTAATACAATTTAAAATTATTTTGAACAGTGGATGATTAACCTATTGCATGCATGAAGGTGAAGTAGTGCAGTCAATAAATGATCTCAAAAGAGAATTTTGCTAAGATTACATATATGTTTAGAAGGACATTATGTGAAATTTATGAAAGATGGAGATAAGATAATAATGTAAGTTATGTAACTATGTGCGTAATTTTAGACTGCATTAAGTAATGTTATTTTAAAGATAGAGGATTTGAAAGGAATCGAAGTACGAAAGTAATCAAAGTGGGTAATAATAGTTGTTTAATAGCAATTATATTATATTATTTTGTTTTTGTTTTAATGCAATATCATGTTTATTTATTTATTAAAATGATGAAGGATTAATTTACAATGCAATATGAATCTATATGTGCGTCAAAAGTGTTTTTATCATTTAAAATGCATGTAAAAGAAAAATGAATTGAATAAAAAATTTACCACATATAAATGATAAGTTATATGAAAAAAAAGTGCATGCATGAGAATATAGGAGTTTACCCATTTATGGTACTAGTTATGGACACAACGTGCCCATACATATTAAATGAAAAAGAAAATGAAAAGGGAAATTGTTGTACTTTCATTGGTGCAAATTTTAGAAGGTGCTATTGTACTAAATTTAAAAAAATGAAAAATGAAAAATGAAAAAAAAAATGTTAATTAAAAAAGAATATATTATTTTATAAATATATAATAAGGATTTATGTCATATGAAATGAAAACAATATATATATATATATATAAAGGGTAAAAGAAAGTCAAATGAATATGATTATTTTATATGATATGCTACAAGTGTGATTATCTACTGAATTTACTATCTAAACTCAAACTGTTAAACTAAAATTTTAAGTAAATATGTTGATAAATAGAGAGACCAAAAGAGAAATATGCATATACAAAAGATGGCGATCAAATAAAATTAGGTTAAATTTTGATTTATGAATATATATTCAAATTTGTAAGTTTATTGGTGGCTTTTTAGTACATCTATTCAAATTTGTTATGTATAACTATTAATTGTTTATGAATTTGAAAGAAATATATTAACCATCTAATCATCTGTTCCACTCTTGTTAACTCGAGTATCCGGGTCGTGTCATGACACTAAGCCTAAAACTCAGGTAGCCTAAATTATTCCCAAATAATCAAAGATTCCTCATTGTTGCTACCAGACCCAATTGTTATAAAAAATTAAAGTTGTCCATGGATGAACCAATTACATTAGATCATCAACATAAGAAGTAGCAGGAAAAAAAGGTGACCCAATTCTAGCAAACTAAAGAAGTTAAAAACCAAGTCTAGGAGTAAGGAGGCCCAAATTATTTCTGATTATTAAAAAATTCTTCAGTGCTACTGTAATAACTGTGTCTAAAAGTCATATAAGTATTTTGCATAAAAATTTATTTATTTTTAATTTTATCAATACTTATAAGTATTATTGTATGTAATTGTTTTGGAAAATAAAAATATGAATTGCATACTCTCAATATTTCAGGCATAATATGAATAATTAAAATAACTTATCTTAATAATGTTTTCTGATTCATAAAATATTTTAAAATATCATTATTCTATAAAGTTAAATTAATTTCTAAGAAATATACTAATTGAGTTTTATATTTATTTTATCTAAATATTAATTAATTGACATAGAAAAAATATTTATATTTCTTAATAAATAATAAATAGAAGTAGAAGTAAGATCACTTTAATTTATATATTGGCATTACAGTGATGTTAGTTTTGTTGTATTTGAAGAATAAGTATATAAAAGATCTGAAGTAAAAAAATAAATAGGAATAATAACTAGAGTCCTGATGATATTCCATTAAATTAATATTATAAAATAAATCATAAATTATTTAAATTATTAAAAATTTATAATTAAAGATCATTTCGAAGATACAAAGTATTTAATTTTGGTCACAAAATGATCAAGAAAGAAAAAAAGATGTGAGTAAAATATAATGTAGTCTCTGGTTGGAGACAGAGAGCATAGCATTGTGCCATGATGCTATAGAATGGACCCAAAGTAAAAGGGAAGTGCCGTGATGCTTGCATAGCAGTGCTATGAGTCAGATTGAGCTATTTATTTTTTTCGCTTAAAGGGTTGCATCATTTGGTGTATTGAAAAGTAGCACTTTATCTATTATGAATGTAGAACGAAGAGAGTAAAAGTAGAGTGATATGTACAATTTCTTTTAATGTTTATAGTGAATTTTTTATTGTGGTGTGGTGTGATTTAGTGTATTTTTTTTTTTTTTCATATTTTGGGATTGTACACGAGAAATCCTGGTGTTCATTTCTATTATTTTATTTCCTTGTATGTTTTGTTATGGGGTTTAAATCCCAAGATTGTTTACTTGTCATTTTTTTTTTCTGCTCATTGTATCCTTTCACTTAACGCTTTGTAAATAGATTTTTGGATATTTATATTAACAGTCTAATATTAGCAAAAAAATGAACTGTTCTAGCTATGGTGGTCTGTGGCGGATGGACGGCGATGGTGGCCGGCGGAGGGTTGTGGCGGGTGGCAACTGCTAGCGGCAATGAGTGGTAGCGGCGATCAAGAATCAAGCAAGCTTGCTTGTAATATGGTGTAAACAATTCTAGCTCAAAATTGGGTGAGTTTAGTTTACCTAAAGAATGAATTAAAATGATTTAAATTACATTTACTTTACTTTGGATTTATTTTTCGTCCAACCAAACATCAATATTTTCAAAACCCCTATATTTGAAAAGCTTTATACCCACTTTACTTCTATCTGAGACGATGCATATCTATATATCTTGAGACATGTTTTTTTTTTTAATTCCATGAACATAACATTTTGGCTATGATTTTATTCCTTGAAAGATTATGTATTTGATGGCATTATTCCATATAGACATTAGGCAAATATTTTATCAGATTTATGATTTCCCAATTTAAATGTTGCCGTAGTCATTTTTTCAGCATATATTCAAACCGCTAGTTAAGTTAGGTACGTGGAGTCTGCATTTTATTTGCTCTACATGTTTTCCAGTAATGTCCATTCTACAAAGGAAGCCTTGCTTTTTATTTCCTTGAAATTCGTTAAAAGTGCTATTATCCATTGGTGGAATGATCCAGTGATGCTTGGTTTACTTTCAAGCTCTCCTTTTGTTCACGTTATGTTGAATTATTTCATTCTTCGGTCTTCCATTTCTTGTGCAGAAGGCTGCCAAATTGCTCTGCCATCACGATTTTCCTGCTAGTGGACAATATAAATGGAGAAAATGGCACAATTGATCCACCTCCCATGAAGATATCAGCCCCTTGTCGAAGCATCAGGTCGCGGCTTACATTTCTCAGTTAGGTTCAACGAAACTGAATTTCTCCTCATGAAATTTTCTAGGTTTGTCTCCGCATTTATGAGGTGTTGTGGTGATGCGTATATTTTCCCTGATGGAATTTTTTAGAACCGCCTTTGATGGATTGGGATTTAATAAATCTTGAATATAATCAATAATAAGATTAAAATGAAATTCCCCAAAAATAATAAAATTTAAGTCCACATAATTCTCTTTTACGATGTTACTTAAATCTTGCCTAAAATAGGAGATACCAAACAGCACCAAATAACAATTTTCGTTAATACGATGCAAATTTCCATGCACATTTTTCTTATTTTAGATCCTTCCTATTATTCATTCTCCCCTGTTTTCCATCGATTCCTCACAGGGCCAAATCTCAGCTCAACTTGCGCGTCTGTTTCAACGTGAAACGGATTACGAACTTGCAGCGGAAACCATTTTCCAAGACGCGTGCTTCGGGTTTTTCTGGAGCTAATATCGGTTTCTGTGGAGCCATCTCATTCCTGGAATATGGGCAGCATTGATGGTAATTCCGTTTCTTCCAATTCGCATGAAACCCTAGCCGGAGAATATTAGGGTTTCTTGGGTATAATATACTTGGCCTGAAGCATTCTTTACCTGAACATCTCTGCGTTCGCAGTTCGCTCTCGTTCGCATTGCGTTGGTATTTTCTTTTTAAACCAGTTGCATTATTCCTCTACGTGTTTATTTGTAGTTCGTTGTTTTGCGTTTTCATATTTGATTTTTGATATGGTAATTTATTATTTAGTAAGATTGAATTTAGGCAATGCTTCTGTTTATCCTATATGTTTCTGGTTTTTAATGAATGCTTTTACGACGAGAATGTGTTCTGATTTATTTCTGCTGCTTTTTATGATTCCGTGGATCCGAGTTGTAGGAAATCACTTCCATTAGGAACTTGTTTTTATTTCTTGACAGTCTAATCAGGATTTTGTAAAGAAAAGATGAGTGCATTGCAGAGCCCTGCATTGGGTACCTATCCCCAAATCCAATCATGTACCCACCAATATCCAATGGGTATGAGTGGATATGCACCCATGACCTTGTGGGTGGGTACTCAACATTGGGGGATAAATCGATTTATATTGCTAATCATCGTATATCTTATATTATTGCAATCCTCACTACGTAGTGTGCAACACTTAACCACACTGCGACTACGACAAATTTTGATATGCGGCTTGAAAGTTTGCAATTAGAGCAAAGGGAAACAAGAGACTGCATTCAAAATGCATTGAAAGTGGATAGGTATAGGTGGGTACGACATTTCGAAAGTCACCATGGGTGGGCGAAGCTCGTCCGAGTAAAGCATGGGTACCCAACCAGAACCCCATTTAGGGCTTCGGAGTGTAGGGAAAAAAATAAAATAAGCTACATATTTTTTGACAATTTGATTTGGAGTACTATGGTAGAAAAGAAAATTATTAAACCCGTCATTGGGAAATGGGATATGTAAATATATGAGAAACGAAAATAAATGAATTTACATCTAATGAAATTTTAGACTAGCAGAATTTTCATGTCTTAGGATTTGTTTGAGATGGCTTTCTTTCTTCTTCTTAAAACAATTTTTTAGTACAAATATTTTTATTTTTATACTGAAAAGCTATTTTAAAAATCATCAAAAAATTCATCCCAAACAAAGCCTCAGAAAGAATGTATAATTTATATATTTTAAGATTAATTTGTTGTGCCCATGTGATTCATTTTTACCTCTTTAGTGGAAAACAGGGAAAGTCACCAGTTAGGTAAGAATGCTGTTGCAAATTGCTTTGGAGAGTTTCCATCATTATTACGGGAATATATTAAATTATATTCTTTATTGTGAATGGTGGATCTGGAAACCCCCTTTTTTTTTTAAGTAAAAGCCGGCTTAGGAAGAAATGAGAACAGAATTAGTACCTTATCCTCTAATGTACTTCTTTTTTGTGTTTACTGCGCTTTTTTTATTTTTCAACGCTTTAAAAGTTGTATAATACAAAGAGGAATATGGATTCCACATATGCATTACAAAAACAAAGTGCAATCTATTCAACATTTAGTCACCTTTTTGAAGCTAAGATCCGTGAGGCCTTCATTTATTGCCTTATCGTTGAACATAATTGACCTTCCACTGTTCTTTCTCTAAGCTTATGTCAATAAGTTGTATAATATACCTAAAAGTTCATCATGTATTCTTTGTTCAATGGTCAGTTTATGTTTATGAACAAAAAATTTGAAAAATGTTTGTGAATGGGTATAAAATTTTTTTAGATGATTCAATTTGCATAAATAGTATAGATTGCGAATATTGCATTATGACAATTGAGTTTTGAGCTCTGCCTGAATATCCGAGATTTAAAAACATGTTTAATTTCGTTTATTTGTTTTCTTATCGAGTTTTAGGCATTGTGGAATTTTCTTTGAGCATTATTACATATATGCAAGATTTTATTAATATAATATTATGTTCAAACAAAAATGTTAACAAAAATGTTTTTTAGTTGTTTGTCAAATTCAAAATAATCCACTATATTATTTTAGTAGTTTTTTGAGAATCAAGTATTGACAAAAAATAAATCATAATCAAATCAAATCACCCAATTATTTCTCAACATAAAACTTCAACATTATTAAACATTTAATACCTACTGCCTTATCAGGCTCCAAAGGGAAAGCATGCATGACAGAGCAAAAAAAAAAAAGAAAAATAATTGCGTAGAAAAATACTAGAAAACTAGGAGGCAAAATATTTATATAATTTGATAATGTTTGCCACTAGATGAGAAAAGTAAAGAATTGCGTTAAGTAGTTGACATCCAACGTAAAACTAGTCAAATAATCATTACATGAATTATTTGTTATTGTTGTTTGATAATGTTTACTACTTCCTTGACCACCTTAAGTGACAATTTTGCTAGTTCTCCCATAGATCTGATTGCGGCTTATTTTCTGAATATAACTTGATTTAACTTTTGTATATTAATTTATTTCCAACTTGTTGTGGTCCGACGTGTATCAGAAGCAAGCCACTGCTATACAAGCTATGGGGATGCATGTTTTATTTCGATGTAAATATCATACTTATGGTCTGTGTTTGGTTGAATTATGAATTCTCTAAAACGAGATTATTAAATAACAATGTTTTTATTTTATTCGCACTGAATTGTACATAGTATCCTCACCAAGACTCCTCTCTTTTGTTGGGTTTTTAGCTAATTTTATCTTTCTCCATTTTATTAGTTGCTATAATTTTCTATCATACCTGAAGAGATCACCTCTGTCTAATGTCGCTCATATTGTTCAGTTGGTTGTATGAAATTGAATTTCTTGACGTGAAAGGTTCTAAATTTGTCTCTGTATTTTTTATGTGTTGTGATGATGTGTATATTTGCATGGTGGAAATTTTAACAATTTTTTTAATGGACAACACGTTACATATTGTGAGAGTAAAGCTTCCTTGGGGACGGCTTTCTTACTGCTTCTTAAGTCGGCTTTCTAGTATAAATATTAAAAATTTTGTACTAAAAAATTACTTTAAAAAGCAGTAAGAAAGCTGTCCCAAACGAAGCCTAAATCTGACTAGAGTCTAGAAATATCAAAATAGATGTTCATAGCTTTGGAAGATTGCAGTCTAATTTCTTTCCTAATCTTGTTCAGAATTTTTACTCCTGAGAAGTAGCATTTACCAGCAATGAAATCTATATCTTGTGAGGAAAAGGCACAAGATAAAGTTCACCGTGTAAGGATTACCCTTTCTTCGAAGAATGTAAAGAATCTTGAGAAAGGTATAATGAAATCCCAACACTCTTTACCATTATGTAATACTCTGTTTAGCAAGGTTAATATGTGCGTTATGCATCAGCAGTTTGTTCTGAGCTGGTCAATGGAGGAATGAATAAAAGACTGAGAATTGATGGAGATGAAGGAGCGCCTCAAAGAGTTTCTCCCATCAGCTGTAGAGGTCCTTATGAAGACAGTAAGATTGACTTGAGCCTTCATCGTTACTTTATTAGTAATTTTATCAATCTTCATCTGAAATAAAACAATGAGTAGAATGGTACATAAGAATAATGAGGTTTTGGATGAACAAATGGCCATTTTGCGCCACCAATATAGATTGTTCTTACTCTACTAAAGTTAAGCTTGGTTGGAGATTTTATTTGTCTCTTGTATCTTCATCCTTATATCTATTGTTGCAACCCGTGCACTCAGCTGAAGTCCTTCTGGAAACCTGCAAAGAAAACAGAGCAAGCACAAGAACAATCCGATCGCCGGAATGAAGTATAAATCTGTATATTCAGGTGTTTGTATTAACTCCCCTAAAAATGATTTTTGCAAAAAACTGCCCGATGCCTCCCGCCGCTCATGGCTATATCAGTATTCTGGAATACTCCCTATTGCTATATCTTGCAAAAATAAAATAAAGCTAATAAGTAAAGGTAATAACTGAAAGTAGTAAAAGGTAGTGGATGTCAGGAGTTCGTTAGGATGACATAAGATGTGCACTGCATCAGCCTTCCTCCGCTTCGGAAGAGCTCGACTCCGACGAGCTAAGGATCACAATGACATCATCAGGGGGAGTATACGCCCAAATGTCTGAAACATTAAAAGTTGAAGACATATTGAAATCTGCTGGTAAGGCGGCGGTATAGGCATTATCGTTGATCTTGGCAGTGATAGGTATAGGCCCCACTTTTTTGCGCATTAACTTTGAATAAGTTCCAGGTTGGAACCTCTCCTTCCGAAGACGTACCATGACCAAGTCCCCAACGTTGAACAGGCGCTGTCGGTAGTGACGATCAACGGTTTCCTTGTACCATTGATTGGCTCTCAGAATTTGTTGCTTCACTTCCGCTAGCATATATGCATAATTTTCGAAGAAGGACGTCGCAGCGGGGGATTTACACTTGGGCAAGATAGCGACGTCGAGAGCTAAATTGGGTGTTTTAGTGTAAACAGTATTAAATGTTGATGATCTTGTACGAGGCAACGCAGCATGTTGCCTAAGGTGCAATTAACGACCTCCGTCTGCCCATCCGTTTGCGGGTGATACGCGGAACTAAGGCGAATGTTCGTGCCCAATCGCTTCCACAATTCACGCCAGAAGTGGCTAACAAATTTTACGTCTCTATCCGACGTGAGGCTTCTGGGTACACCATGTAAAAGAACAATTTCGTTAAAGAAAAGGTGAGCAATATTCATGGCGTTAGAAGTTTTCTTACACTGGAGGAAGTGTGCCATTTTGGAGAATCTGTCGACGACGACCAGGATCGAATCATGTCCCCGCTGTGTTCTTGGTAAACCCAAAACAAAATCCAGGCTAAGATCTTCCCAAATTGAATCGGGAACGGGCAGAGGCATGTACAGACCGGTGTTTTGAGCTCCTCCTTTGTACATTTGACAAATGGGACAACTGTCAACTAGGCGAATCACATCGCGACGTAACCGAGGCCAGAAAAAACGAGATTGAACATGTTTCAAAGTTTTGTCGCGCCCGACGTGTGCGGCTAAACCTCCTCCATGGGCTTCTCGGATCAAAAACTGTCTCCAAGAAGAAACATGAATGCATAATAAATTTTGCTTAAATAAGTATCCATGCCTCACCGAATATCCCTCTGCCGGTTGTGACCCGTGGCAAGACTCCCAGATTTCCTTGAAGTCTTGATCGGTTTCATACAATTCCTTGAGACATTCAAGGCCTGTTGTTTCTGTTTGGAGACGTGTGAGTAAGACATTCCTTCTGCTGAGAGCGTCAGCTACTCGGTTATTCACTCCGGGCTTATGCTGGAACGTGAAGGAGGATCTTTGGATGAACATAAGCCACCGAGCATGCATTCTGTTTATGGATTTTTGGCAATTGAGATATTGTAAAGCTTTGTTGTCACTGCATAAGACAAAATCCTGGTGTAACAAATATAATTCCCACTGTTTTAAAGAGCGGATGATAGCATAGAGCTCTTGCTCATAGGCGGACCATTTTTGCCGAGCATCGCTTAATTTCTCATTGAAGAATGCCACTGGCTTGCCTTCTTGCGAGAGTACAACCCTGATTCCAATAGAGGAAGCATCAGTTTCGACCATAAACACCTTGTCGAAATTTGGTAGTGTCAGCACTGGGGCCGAGATTAAGGCTTGTTTAACGGCTTCAAAGCTTTGCTGCTGGGATTCGCCCCAATAGAACGTCTTGGCCTTTAGGCAATCAGTCACCGGAGCCATCATGACACTGAAGCCTCGAATGAATTTCCGGTAGAAGTTCGTCATCCCATGGAAGCTTCTTACTTCAGAAAAAGAAGTAGGTGAGGGCCAATCACGAACTGCACTAATCTTCAGCGGATCCATGTGTACACCCTTCGTAGATATGATGAATCCAAGGAAATGTACCTTTGGGACTGCGATTTCGCATTTGGGAAGATTGAGACAAATCCTTTGCTGTTTGAGAACATCAAAAAGATTTTGTAAGTGTTTCAAGTGGCTATCCCAACAGTTACTATACACCAATATATCATCAAAATAGATGATACAGATTTTTCCCAAGTAAGGCTTCAAGATCTCATTCATCATCCTCATGAAGGTGGACGGGGCGTTGCATAAGCCAAAAGGCATAACCTTCCACTCATACAGCCCTTGCAGCGTCTTGAATGCCGTCTTCCATTCATCCCCGGGACAGATACGAATTTGATGGTAGCCGCTTCGCAGATCAAGCTTAGAAAAGATAGAGGAGCCCGTGAGTCTATCCAACAGTTCTTCAATGCGGGGATCCGGGAATCTATACTTTAATGTGATTTTATTGATAGATCGACTGTCGATGCACATCCGCCAACTTCCATCCTTCTTGGGCATGAGCAACACCGGAACCGCACACGGACTCAAGCTCATTTGAATGAATTGTCGTTTTAACAAGTCATCAATTAGTTCTTGTAGGATGAGCTATTCTTTGGGATTTAGCCTATAATGAGGCATATTAGGCAATACGACACCTGTGACAAAATCTATTTGGTGTTGTATGCTCCGAAGCAGTGGTAATTCCTCAGGCAGATTTTCAGGGGTAATCTCACTATACTGTTGCAGTAAGCTTTGAATTTCATTGGGCCATTGAGCATGAGGACGGTCTTGACTCTGTTCGGCCACCAACAGAGCAAATAATGGGGCAGGTTCTTTCCAGCAATGAAGAAGTCCAGCTCCCGTGACTAACTGTACTGAGTTCTGCTGAGGTGGATTAGACAGCTGCGGTTTTGTTTCCATCAGGGCGGGTAGCAGCCGGAGTCGGCGACCCTTCCACTCAAAAGAATAAACATTAGCTCGGTAGTCGTATGTGGCACCAACATCAAACTGCCAAGGCCTTCCCAAGATCAAATGACAGACATCCATATCCAGAACGTCGCATTGGACTTCACATACATATTGTTTACCTATAGAAAAAGTCACCTGGCATGACTCCGAGACTAGGATTTCCATCCCCCGCTTGACCCAACTTATTTTATACGGATGAGCATTTTTACTAGTATTCAACTTCAAACTTTGCACCACAGCTCTAGAAATCACGTTTTCAGTACAGCCGTTGTCAATCAAAAGATCGCACACCTTGCCGCCTATAGTGCAGTGTGTTTTAAAAATAGAATGGCGTTGGGAACTTACACTCTGCCGCAGGGCCAATAACAGTTTTTCCAACACACACACCAAAGCTTCACCTTCATCAGTAGGGACGTCCTCCGAATCACACTCTGGGTTGAATTCTTCATTAGCATTTTCTCCGCCCTCTTGACCTTCAGCCACATTGACTTGTTGCCTTTGTGGACACTCGTTCAACTTGTGCCCCGGTTGGAAACAACGGAAGCATTTTAGTGTCGACGGCTTGGCATAGGGGTTTTCTTTGGCCGTATACTTCTATTTTAGTGGACCTCTTCGATCTGTGGGGGGTGTAACTAGGCATAGTAGCCGGTACCGAAGATCCCACAGTTTGTGAGGTTTTAGTTACTGGGCTGCTCCCTTTTTCGGATACCACCGGTTCCTGCCAATGCCTCCTGTTATAGGGGGTTCTGCCTTGTCTGTTCTGTTGCATCTCAATCTTCATAGCAAAATTCACCGCTTGAGCCATCGCCATACGGAATTCAACTCCAGACGATCCTGGATGCTGTCTTTTAACCCCCCAATGTATCGTGCCACTAAATGATTAGCGAATTCGTTTAGATTGTTTCTAGCCGACAATCTATTGAATTCTTCGGTATAGTCACTCACGGTCCGGGAACCTTGTGAGACCTCGTTCCTTTGCTGTAGCTGCTGGGAAAGTGATTTTTCCCCAGGATCGGCCGGGACGATGGTGAGATCGTCCAGGCCGATCAGTGTATTGAAAACAATTGATTTCTGGAATGTTCTCTGGAGTGATTTCTGGACTGAATCGTCC